GGAAACTACAACGGAGAATTGCCCATGCCGCAAACAGGAAACGTAAGGGACGTTATAATTGTAAAAGATTCTCTCGATACAACACTGGCTGGAATTTCAAGAGACGTGCTTCAGAAATACGGTAGTGAAGTGTGGAAAGGAATCACCGGACCAAAAGACAGTTTCCACTATACCGAGTATTGGCTGTGGGTCGAACCGGCCTTTAGTTCAGATTTGTCAGAGGGAAACAATTACAATTTTAAAATCGAACACTGTTTGCCTTTTCAGTGCGGTGGTGGTACTTTCTCTTACGGCGTCAACATCAAAGTCAGCCTTGCTTGATAATTCTTCTTCTTCGCACCGATTGCCGACCAAACAAGGAGCTCGTAGACCTAATTAACGTTAGCGGCACTTTACACAAGCGACTTAGTTAACCCAATAACAAACTCTAGATGATTTTATGCAGACTGTAGATCGAAGAGTTCCACTTTACAAATTTACTTGTGATTAATAGTTTTTATTTAGGTATAGGACGGTAAGCAATTCAAATAGAGCTAAAGCACTGTTCGTAGTAGCTTCCAAACCTGGCGTCTAGTGCGAGATATCTGAAATGAAAGAATTGCGGCCCACATCTTTAACCAAATTTCTCTGTGACGGACTGACACTTCGAGATGACTTCCATCGCTGGAGTTGCTATTGTAGACTGAGCTTCACTATTTCTGAAAGCCAGTATAACTCACTGCATTGCTGTAAGAGTTCCAAGGAAGAAAGGTAATCAGCGTTGTCAGATCAGAAATTGAGAATTAAATGAAATTAGGATCACGAAAAGAGACATTTTAGCGACCTCACGGAGAAAAGATTTAGGCGGCCAAGACTAGATTGCGGAAAGCACTGATGTCAGACATTCTACAGGTACGCAGACAAGACTCTGAAGCCATTCACGTTTGTAAGTGTACTCGAAACAACGTTTTAATCATTTCCTAAGTTTTGATGAGTAGCCTGATTAAATGTTACACTTATTTTACGACTATAATTTGCTTACGTTATTTACAGTTAGCTCTCTGGAGCAAACCAGTTCATGATCAGACATCTTAAAATGCTAAAGTACTATGATGTTCTGTCTCTCAACGTTATTACTCATGTTAGCGTTGCCTATGATAAATGAAAAAGGTCTATGGACGTAATTTCTTTCTATAAATAAAGAACAAGGAACACGAAATGCAAGCGGCAAGTGTTTGATTGACTTCCGTTTTCTCTTTGGCTTCGTCCAGCTTCGTAGCATATACATCTAATTGTGTTTTTTAGTCTGCTAAGTCCCTATGATTTGCCACTTGTTTCTCCAAACGCAACGGCTGAAACTTCTTTCAAATGAGAGCCTAAACTTCTAAATTCGGCAAAGCAGTTTACTTTTAACATAACATGAAACGAAACATGCGCTCTACTTACCACCAACGGCGCAGAACAGCTTCTTTCAGAACTCCTTATTAGTTAATAAATTTATCATATGTCCATTTGCGAGAGTAAACTGGTCTCCAGCTCACTGAGGCGTTTGTTTCAATCGTTTCGATGTTTGATTTTTGTACAGTCATGATAACATTCTGAGACGAAAATTGTAATAAAGTAATGTGCCTCCATGCGAAAAAATATTATAAACGCACTACGACACGAAAGAGTTACATAAAGTTTGACTGCGTATCACTGCTTCATTCTCCGCTTGCATTTTGTGGGACGCTGTCCAAAAGTGAACGAATGCTTTCCCATATTGGACATGATATTGCAAAGCACACTGTTAACATATGTTAAAATTAGTGAACAATACTCTAAAAATAGTTTGACTTCAGACTGATTTATTGAACCCTTCAGGGTCGTGGAAGCAATAATCATTTCCGAGAAACAACTTGTCGTTTCCGGACATGACATCAGAGGGGGTGGCTGCATGGCCATAGAGTTATTGCCTCGTTTCCAACCTGGGGTTTTTCCTTTCTCTTTTGGATATGGCGGAAATGGTGCGGAAAAGGGCTTAGTACAATGCGAGGCTCTCGCATATGTAATTTTTAGATATTTCTTGATAAAAAATGAGGCCATTGATGACATAATGCTGTCAAAGGAAAGTCCGTTTTAGAGACGATAACATGACTCTTTTGACATCATTTTTGTTGTGCCAGCCCCAAATTGATGACAAGAAATTTTTCTCAAAAGTGAAACGTAAAAAAACCGGGGATAAGTTCCGTCTGGTCAACCGTTCTGTAACACAGCGATATCTCATCTAATCAGAAGACTAATTTCGCTCGACCAAACCTGGGTACTGCTATGCGACATGACGTCATCGAGATAGACCTACCACTCCTTACCAGACCTCATGCGGATAAAGAACCATACAGAGGCAAAAGGGAACATTACGGCTGCTACTAAAGCTGCTTGCAGGCTTGTTCAATACCACTGGAAAGGAAGGATTTCCTTCAGGCTTCATTAAAGGAAAGATAGCCAATTAATGCAAACAGACTCATTGTGTTCACTCTCACTTCAATGTGAGGGTGCAGTCGATCGACTATGAAGTAAACGTAACATTGCTCAACTGAGAACCAATCAAAGGACTTGCTTTGGTCACATGATCAGTTATTTGTGATGTTATTAGACACTAACCGCTCCCAGTTCCTCTTCTTGTTCAGCGTCTTACGTGTAGGAATGATCTGTTTGATTTGTAGCTTTTGATCACGGTAAGTTAGCAAATATGTCAAAACTGATCCAAAGTGCGATTGATCCCACCATAACTTGACTTCAAGAGACCTACCAGGTTCTTGTAGGTAGGAGTTTCCTAGGATGCTATGAAGGCGCACACACTATGTCGCAGACAGAAACCCCAAAGGACGTTACAACTGAACAAGATTCCCTCGATGCAACACTAGCTGGAATTTTAAGTGACGCGCTTAGGTCATACGGCAGTACCGGACCAGAAGGCAGTGTCCTCTATATCCAATATTGGCTGTGGGTGAAACCGGCCTTTCGTTCAGTGCTGACGATTGGAACCGATTACATTTTCAGAATCGATCACTATGTGCCTTTTTGATGCAGTGGTGGTACTTTCCCTTACGGCGTCAGCATCAAAGTCAGTCTTGCTTAATAGTTCTTCGTGTTTACGCAGAGTCCTTAAAACTTTCTGGCGTAAGCAGAAATTTACACAAGCGACTTAGTTAACCCAATAACAAACTTTATACATGGTACGTCTAATACGTCTAGACGTATATTGTATACGTCTAATATGAAGCAGGTCTTCAAGCTCGTTGATAGTACGTTCAGCGTAAAGTCGTTTCCAACTCTACCGACACACGACTCTCTTGAACACCTAGTTGAGAGTTTTGGCGACTTCTTCGAATCTAAAATCATTGATATCAGACGTTCTCTCTCTCAACAACCTTCCTCTCGGCCTAAATGTGTGACTAATGTATCGTGCTCTACCTCTTTCAGTCAGTTTGAACACGTCTCTCTTAATAGTCTCAAGACTATCATTCAGTCATCAAAAAGTAAAAGTTGTGCTCTCGATCCAATACATACTTGGTTGTTAAAGGACTGTATTGATGTTGTTGCCCACTCTAACTGATATCATGAACGCGTCTTTGGATCAGCGCATTTTCCCCTCTTTCTTCAAGAAGTCACTAATCTGCCCTCTGATAAAAAAGGACAACCTTGATGCTGATGTCTTTGCCAAATATTCATCCATCTCTACTCTATCTTTTCTCTCTGAGGCATTAGAAAGAACAGTGGCTTTCCAGATTGAGGGATAATTCACCACCAATGGCTTATTTACTAAAATGCAATCAGCATACAGAAAGCATCACAGTACTGAAACTGCCCTTCTACGAGTTGGTAATGATATACCTCTGGCCCCGGTTGTTCGAAGATCGGATAGCGCTATCCATTGGATAAATCTCTATCCGGTGGATAACGCTATACGTTTTGCTATCACTTATCCGCTGGACAGCGATTTATCCGTTGGATAACGTTATCCACCCTTTATAGAACTGGGCCCAGGCCATTGACAACAAATGCGAAGCTGCTCTAGTGTTGTTAGACTTATCTGCGGCTTTTGACACAACAAACCACGCTATCCTTCTCGATAGGCTTCGGGAACGCTGTGTTTTTGCAAAACGGTTCTTCTTTAGATTGAATCATACATTAAAGATCTTCCTCAATGCATTGCCCTCGATAAGATTCTTTCTCGACCAAGATACGTCTTGTGGTGTCCGTGAAACTGGGAAAATTCAGAGATTGCAAAATACCGCGACAAGTTTAACTGTGTGCATGAAGAAGACTATTCACATTACTCCTGGCTTCCTGTTAATGACAGAATAATTTTAAGTTACTTTTGATTACATACAAATCTCTTAATAGCCTTGCCCGGGCCCAGTGTACATTGATGAAGTTTTGCTCTCTACTTAAAGAACCATCTGAAAATACATTGTAACTGTAAAATAAAACTAATTAAACAAGAGGCCAATATACAAGAGACAGAAGAGTTATTGAAGACGGCGAAAATTACCACAAATTGCAAATAACAGAAATTTTAAAATTATGACAAATCTTTGAGCGAATGATGGGCAAACTTAACATTCAAATGTTGTAGAACATGTCCAGGATTGACCACCGATGAGATTTATTTTCTGCACAAAAGACATCAAAAAGTGTCCTCATGACTAAACTTCTAGCGAAACATATATAATTATGTCACAAAGGTGGACATAAGTGGTGTTGTATCCAAAAGTGATCCAGGTTTGAGATCATTGCTGGCAGCATGGTCGGGTAAAGAGCGCGCTGGATCTTAAATCGGGTGATTTAATCAGGTTGGAATCCCGCTCTGAACATCAGCTAAATATCTTTCTTTGTAATTCTTGATGTACTCCTCGGCAACGCTTGTGATGATAATAATAACAATACTAACAAAAAAAAAAAAAAAAAAATAATAATAATAATAAAAGTAATAATAATAACAATGATAATTACAAAAATAATAATGTTGATGATGATGATGATGACACTAAAAACAAAAAATGCCTGCGATGAAATCCTTTAATCAGGTGAAGGAAGTCCTCTTGTTCGTGGTCCACCATCAAATTCTTCGTCATCAGAGATATCTGGTGACTTGAATGACACCCTGCGTCCTAAGGGAGCGTTTATTTTGTGATAGTCACGATAAATTTGTCCGGATCCTCTTTTTCTGAGTAAGTTCTTCTTCCATTCTGGCATGCCAACCCAACGCTGCTCTTCCTTAAGCCTAAAAAATGTAGAATTGGAAAACATGATCGGCTATTTTCTCACTCGCATTTCTGGTGAGAAAAGTTTTAAGTAGGTCACAATAGAATCCAAAGTAGTGTCAAACTAACGGCTATGGAGAAGTAATGAAACATGACCACGTAATCACTCTTAGCGCGGATGGCCAAGCTGCAGTTAGATTTGGTTTTGAAATTGATTGGTTGACAAGGAGGGGCGGGAGATTTTTTTAAGCCAACCACAGCGTGAGCTGAAGCAGAATCAAAGGAAACAGTTCCCGATATTCTTAAAGTTCTTGAAGTTAAACCCGTTCACACACTTAATAGAGTAAACGAAAACACCCAACACAAAGATGTCTCACAAACCTTTCTTCTTCCTTCTTGCTGATTAAAGGAATTTTCCATGAAGGTACAAAAGACCACTTTCTTTGCTCAATCTCTCTCTGAAATAAAAAACAACTCATACTATCGAAATAAGGTTAAACCAGTAATGTTAAGCCTATAATTTTCGGAATCGTCTTTTGCAGTTCGTTGTAATCTTCTTACCTATCCACGGACAGTCCTAATTGGTCTTTTTTGGTGTTTCCCTCAGTCGGAGTTCTGAGTTTTGCATGACGCCAAAAATTTCCTAAGAATATCGTGACGTTATAATTCCGGAACAAGACAACAATTTGAAAGATGTTATTCAGTGAATGACAGGCATACTCGGTGGAAAAGAACTCTAAGTGCTCCAAATAGGAGTCAAACCTACAACTTTCCGACCGATTAGTACTTCGGATGCTCTACTTCTGAGCAGCTATAGAAGACTGGTGGCACACTTGGTCATTTAACAAGGTCCATGATTAAAGAAAAATTCTATTTACATAATCATTGCACAGAAGACAACGATTTGTTCCCAAATGGCCTAATTAATACTTCATAGGAAAACTTTGCCATTAATTAGGCCCAAAAGTTGTTGGACAGAATCTTACTTGATTGATTACTTCAATCCTTCGTTCAACTCAATCAAGTTTCAATTTTTGGAATGTAAAGTTTGTTCTGAGATTGCATAAATGCATTCTTTTGAATACGAACATTACAAGGGACTTTACCAAACGAATACTCCTTACGCCCTAACCTTTTCCCGCTCTACTCTTTCTCGCGCCTTTTCTTTGATGACCCGATTCATCAAGATCTGTCGCTTCCACAGCGGCAGCACATTCACTAGCTCCTCGTGCAATGATTGGACGTTCCCTTCATGACGACCTTCGCTAGTCTCGTTCTGATTCTTGTATCCTATTGGTTGGCCACTAATGCCGTTTCTAACAGTCGTCTTCGTGTTTTCATCTTTAGACTCGCTGATTGCATGACTCGAAGTGCTGGCCTTGTTCGACAAAGAATCAACCTTCACGATAACGCTGCAGTCATCTTGATTTGTAACATTTGCACTGAACTCAACAGATGTAGATTCAAAGGGTCCGCTTAGGTGGGAAGTTTCACTGTTGGCTTCATTTTCGTTCAAATCGACCTGTTCTTTCGGCTTTAATGATTCCTCACCTTGCAGAAAAATAAAAGAATGATTGTGACGTTAGAGTAACTAATTTCAGCTAATTGAAAGCGAAAACATCTTTGCTCGTATTTTTAAGATAACACGTGAAGTCATTTTAGTGTGATTACTTAATGACAGATGATTTTAGAGATGCACACGCTAATAATTGTCAAAAATTACGTCATATCGCACCCTACACGAGGTGATTAGAATACAGAAACAATGGTTGCCCCTGAGTTTCTTGATGATGAAAGCTTTCATACTGAAACAATTATTCGACGATATTCACTTCGCCTTCGGTGATTCATTGTTATTTCCAGGGGTATGGATAATTCTTTTTTGTCTCTAAAGAGAATAGGTTTGAGCTGCACTTATATTGCTACGCAAGCATGCAATGAAAACAGTTAACCCCTCCCCCGAAAGATGAATACTGACGAAAACTATTCTTGAGGATAAAAGGTGCAAATTTCGGAGAAATTGTACGTTGAGACTGCTAAATTGTGATCGTTAAAACAACGATGTCCATGCACGGCTTCAGTAACTGCATTGATACATTTTCAGTAAATTCAACCAAAGCCGTTGGATAACGTGAAGTTTGTAGGGCGTTCGTTAGAGATATTTAAGTTCGACTCCAACACTGGTGTATACTCTTATTACTAAAGAACAAGTGGACAGTAATATTTCAAAAGAAATCAGTACGGTGGAAGAAACTCAGAGATGTACTAACAAAATAAACAATGTTTTGTTCTCCAGCATCAACCGATGTCGAACACTTTATTACGCTAAGTGAAAATAGATAGATGCTATAGAAAATATTGAATAAGTAAATGCTGTTAAAATAAATGTTGCTCTTTAGAGCAGGTAACTGTTAAGTCTGCCCTCGAGCCAAGAAGCCCAATGCGCATCGATCAACTCGCTCGCTTTTCATAACATTGACGAACAAGGAATATTGCAAGATTCCCCAGATGGAATGCAATTCCATTGCAGGTGAGCGCCATGCATTTTCTTAGCCTTCTCTCGCATTTTCTATCACGAATTTCTTTCACGCATTGTGAGAGTGGGGCATCTTGCCAAAATAAATGATACAAACTAGCTATTTGGCCGGAGCTTTAAAACCCGGATATCTCGTTCGGCAGTCGAGCGCAATGACCAATTGGCCAATGTGTCGTCCACGCAGAAAACCAATTTTATTATTGGTTTACTTATAGTATGGTAGCTTACCTGTGACTTCAGAAAACTCTGGCGGAGGAGGAAGGATATCCAGTAAAGGCGGTGAAGGAAGGAGCTGTTTTTCTCTCACGGGCTTTTTTGTAAACGGCGAAGGAAGGACTTTAGAAACCGTCGCTTGAGTGCGCGGCGGGAAAGGCTTTGTGCTCTCATTCAGATCTCTAGTGTTAACAGATGGGGGTATAATAATTTCTTTTAAAACTGCAGGTTTGTTTTTCTTGTCGTTAATACTTAGTTGTAAAGAAGCTCGTTCGGGCCTTTCTCTCATATGAAAACCAGGTTCCAATGAAGTTTTGAAACTGGCCTCTCTCTTAGTTGGAAATGCTAAACTTTTCCCTGGATATTTCATCGCTGGCTTCAGGTTCTCTGTAACCGCCTGACGTTCCTTGGTATCCGTCAGTCTCTTTTGTGCTTTGGCTTGCTGCAAAAAAAAAAGGCAAATATATATCTGAGAACAGGAGAACCTTAATTTAAGGGGCACCCTCGGATCTACAAAAAGAGTGCCTAAGTTGAGGAGCCCCTTCATTGAAGGTAACAGGGGCATTTTTCAGTCGGCACAAAGCTGAATAGAGGTGTTCTAGAAGACACTTCATAGTACAAAATTAATCTACAGACAAGAACAGCGACATAAAACTGAACTGAAAAATTCCTGCCCACATAAGTATGTGTGATACTGCTTATTTTTTCTCTAGAAATCTCTTTTTCGATGGAAAGTATGGAAATTGGACATTTAAGCACTTGCAGTCAACAGAAATGTCAGTTCACAATTGGGGCAAACAACGAGTAAAATTAAGAATGGTGGAATAAGCCATTAAAGAAAATTCGCGTCAGTCACACTAACTTTGGTGCAAAACACACTGTTATAAGTGATTAACGTTCAAAAGTAACTAACAATCAGAAGCACTACTTCAAGCCAGTCTCGCCCCAGGTAAAGTTTGTGAAGAAAGCTGAAATGTAAACATATATCTGAGAGAATAACTTCTCTTTGTTTCAAATAAACTACTTTCATATTGGGGATGTTCGTTCAGTGTCTCAAAGATCTTCTTTTCCGTAGAAATACAGGATATTGCGTAGCCGGGGCCATTCAACAAAACGACCAGGTAAATCGAGACTTATTTGAAGCTCCTTCAAGTTATGGATGTTCACTGTTCAGCATTTGTTCGATTTAACAGTATTTAAGGTAAGATTATGCACTTTTCAGGCTTCGTGAGCCACAGGCAGACCAACTACAAGGTGTTTGATACCCGTTCGTTGGGTTTATAGAAGGTGTAACACTGCAAAAAAGAGAAAAAGCCACCATCCTGTGATTCGGCCAAATTTGCATTCTAACCTGAAAGACTGACCGGTCGATTTTTTCATTTGTCAAAAGTAACGAAGAGTAGGATTCTTAATCGTAAACTAATATGGGGGGGGGGGGGGGGGGGCCGGGAAAGTAATCTTGTTTTTATTTGGTTTATGAGGATTCTTTTTTCAGTAAATTACCTTCAAAAGTATAACTTTCTTCTGAAAAAGAGGAGCGTCAAATTACGCCAAGTCCTGCTTGTATCCTTGATAAATTTCAGTACAGTTAAACTTTATGTAAGAGCGCTTTTCGACTGCAAGCCTTAAAACCAAAAGCAGTTGAAAGTAGGCAGAGCACGAAAATCGAAACGAACCAAAATGTCACAAAAAGTCAACAATATTTTGAAGTAAAAACAAGCAAACTGCCGAAAGGACGGGAAAACGTGAGTAACCAAGTCATGATTAATTCTATTTTCGCATATGATTGGTTGAGAAGATATCACAAGTTTTCTGAACCATGCCACTGAGTCACACAACCAGGTAACACGAACCCAAAGCAATCTGTGTTACTTCTAGCCCTTGATTAAAAATCGCTCTACATTAATTTTAAAGTTTATTCACGTGGTTTTCACGATTTACCAATGACACATTTAATAGTTACCAATGTATTTATTTAGTTTTGTATTCTATTAATTTAATAAGCATGCTTTATAATTTTCTTACGTGCTTTAACTGAGTTTTTATCACTGAAAACTGTAGTTTTAATATAATAATTGTGAAGCTTAAATAGAGAGTTACCTTCTTCCTAAAACATAGTTATATCAGTTAGTAATTTTTCTTAATTCTATTCTTTGTACAACGAAACTTCCACCAAAAATATACAACTAAGAGCTAAGAGGCAATGAAGAGTTCCAATCACTATCTAGAAAACGTTCTTACAAGTGAAATTCCAATAAGTGACCACAGAAAAAAGCCTTTCAAATCATATATTTAACAATTATCTACCGCAATTAGTTTTAGCACTACTTGTGCGCCGTGAATCAAATTATTATCACAAATCAAAATGATTGTACATGGTTTGATGCTACTCAGGTTTAAAGATTTAATAAATGTAACCGAGAAGTTACAATTCATAGACCCAACGTTTTGACACTCCTGTCTAGTGCCTTTATCTAGGCAGGAGTGTCAAAATGTTGGGTCTATGAATTGCAACGTCTCGGTTACATTCATTAAATCTTTAAACCAGAGTAGCATCAAACCGTGTCTGATTGTCCATCTGGTTGCCATGTGAACTTATTAAATATATTTTAAAATGATTGACATTGTCTTATGCTCATTGTGACAACGATCAAAGCCTAACATTATAGAAACTTAACTTTGTTGCCATGCTTTAACAGCTAATGTTGTTTGCTTTCGTGCTATTGTTGAGACGTTGGCATCTGTTGAAAGTTCAAAAATGTGTTTAAATTTAAGTTTTAAAAGCTTTTGAAATTATCTAAGTGCCAAAAGGCAAAGCAAAGTGACAGAAGAAAAAAAAATGTTAGAGACAGATGAAAAGAGATCTGACCTGCTGAATGTGAGCACAGAAGCACAGATTGCTTTAGAAAATAGAAGAAATTTTGCTGCAAGAAACACTCTAACACTCCAGTTAACATGTATAACATTGAGCATTATTGCTGCAGAATTAAAATGTATGACACTCAGGACATTGAAACATTAAGATCTGCAATTTATGAGGGCAATAACAATTTTCTGGGTTATTATATCAAATGAAGGTAAGATAAAAGTTTAGTCTGTATTCAAGCCAAAATGACCAATGCTGCCAAAGCTTATTCTGGTTTCCTTAGCATGAAGGAGAGAGGCACTCCACTCCACTCCTTTGGCCATACTGGGGAAATTGGCCCTTGTTCATTTTTGTACAGACCTCACTGCACTGGGTCCGTACTGCCACAACTTTGGGTCAATATTCCCCAGTACAGCCCTAAAGCCTGGTTAGTTAGAAGTTAATAGACCTGGTTGGAGAGAGACACTGTGATAGTAAAGTGTTTTAGCCAGAACACAACACATTGATCCGCCCAAGTCTCAAACCCACACCTTTAAACCCTGAGTCCAGCACACTAAACATGAGGTCATCTTTTCTCCCGGTTGTGATGAAGATTTCAAATAAATTCATTACATAAAATACCTTTGATGCTGCAATCTTGAGGTAATCTAAACATTTCCGGTGTCCATTTTTCTCTGCTAAGGTCAATGCAGTCATACCCTCCTTGTCTTTCTGTTGCACATTCAACTCCACATTTTCTACAAGATATCTGATGCACTGCCAAGAGAATTATTTTATATTAAAACAATTTGAAACCAATAAAATCAGTTCAACTTGTATGATAAAACAAAAAAAGCATACTGCTACCCAATGGGATTCAGTTTTGGATTTGTTTTGGATTGTTGATATCTATGTTATTTAAAGATAAATTACATATTACAGAAGACCTAGAGGACTCAACTTTTCTTTATAATAGAACATACTGGCATACATAGACAAAGTTAAGTATTGAGTAACATGTTTAATGCCTAGATTTGTAAAACAAAGTTTTTACTCTTCAAAGCAAAAAATCAATGTTAGATTTCCGCCAGATGGTGTTGAAAACACTGGTTACTCACCTCAAATTGTCCCTGTTCTGCGGCATCATGAAGAGGAGTACCTCCCATTTGGTCTGTTGCAGTAACATCACCTTTGGCATTCAGCCACTTTAGCACAGTCACATGACCTAGATGAAACCAGCATAAAAACAATCAATGCAGGCCAAAATGCACATGTACATGTATGCTCCAACTGTTTTGACTTCAATGCATTACACCTGTCCAAATCTAAATAAAAAGATGAACAGTAATTGTAACCCAAGGTCTTTAACTTCTTTTTATAAACAGTTCACTATAATTTCACCAACCAACCAATACCCATTATCACAGATGGTTTTTAGGAATTTTTGATTTGGGGAATTCCAACTTTGATCAAAAAATTAGCCCCGCAATTACCTCTGGACCAACTCACACCAAGCAATCTTGCCTTGCAAGAATTTTGGTGTAGGGCAAGAAAGAAACAAACCCACAAGTCTTATGGCAGGGGGACTGCCTAGACATAGGGAAAGGCCACAGGCTGCCATACATGGCTTACAATGATTCTTGTTGAAATGCTTATTTTGTAAGAGCTGTGGCTCATTCTAGTGCTATCAGTCTCACTAGTATCATGATTTGACCCTTTTAATCCCAAGATCTAAATAGCTTTTCTCAACACTATTTGTCAGTCATCACTTATAATTTTAGACCCAAGAATTTGTTGGTCAATCAAACAACATTCCCCTAGTTGACAACGTTTCTACTTCTCATCACCTTTTTGCTTGAAATGGTATGGATGTTGTGAGGAGAAATTTATCCTTGGTCACTCCTGGGAGTGAAAGGATTAATCATGAATTTAAGTCTACTAATTCCTGGAAAGTTATAGAGGGAAAAATACATCTTCAATTTTGTCATATGTACCTTGTGAGGCAGCATAGTGAGCAGGTGTGGCACCAGCTCCATCCCTCTCATTTGCAGAGGACTGTCCTTTTTCCATCTATACAGAAGAACAGAAAGTTAAAAAAACTGAAATCTGTTGAGGATCATACTTGTAGCTGCAATTTTCCTCATAGTAAAATCCAAATCAATAGGTATGAAAAAAAAGAGGGGTGCCAGTCCCTTGGACAGTCAAAATTTACTCATTCAAATCCAATAATTTATGTAAATTCTAGTTATCCCATTTTGAAATTTAAGATATACTGATGTTAGCATGCAAGGCATTAAAATTATCAGTATGCATATTCTCCATAATGTTCTCCATAAATTTCCTAAAGTGCTGATAAGGAGAATTTTTTAACAATCAAGAGCTGCATTAGTTGGTGATCATTTCCTTTATTCTAACTTGTTAACTTGATATATTGTAAGGAGAATTAGATTCTTATAGGGGTCGAAGGCCTTTCAAAATAGTATTTCATGTACCTGTCTCTCACTTTGACTTAGGACCAAAAACAACAGGCAATTAACAAATACAGCTTGCTAAATGACTGCCGCAGAAAGGTCATTAGACTGGCCATTTGCAGCAAATTCAGTCACCAATTAAAATTAATTTTCTACAGTCTACTGTATGCAAACTAAAATGGTCACAGCTTGGAGGGATAAGGATTATTTTAGGATGCCATTCTTTCTTTCTCACCAGATATCCTATACAGTCTAGATGTCCATTCTGGGCTGCAGCATGAATTGGCAGCATTCCATCCCGGGCTCTGGCATTACACTTGCCGTCAACACTGTGCAGGTACTTAACACAGTCTAGATTACCGTCTTGAGAAGCAAGATACAAGGGAGTTGTTCCATCTGTGGCAACATCATTAACACAGCTGAAGATAGAAAGAGTTACCAATACATCATATTAAAGTTTGATCACAACTCTTATGCCCATTTTCTAGAGGAAATCTTTCAAATTAAAGTGGTGAATTTAATAGACTTTTAACTATCTTAAAAAATGGTGGGAATTGAACCCTCTTCTATACTTGTGATAAAGAAATAAAAATTTGATAAAATTTGAACTCTTTGAATTAATGAAAGAATTTAAAGAGAGACAAAATGGAAAAAATATGAGTCTTCTGTGAGGGCTCAATCCTCAAATGTTCTGATTTTGCAGTTTTATGCTCCATCAACTAAATTACAGCTAATTCAATGTTGAGTTAGGCCATATAACACTGCTAACAGAAGTTTCATGAATATCCAGCATGGGAAAGTGTTTGTACACTTCTAGACTTGAGTCAGAACTTTGAGAAGCATGGTGATAGGGTCCTCTATCTTGGGGCCAGAATGGAGAACAAAATAAACTGAGTGCATTACTAATGGAGATGATTTTGAGATCTTTTACTACTTATTCTTCTTCCTTTACTGTTCCACCTCTTTCTACATAGAAAATACTTGATAACAAGAATTGCTGATCATGGGAAAATGCAAGGCAATATACCAGAACCCTTTCACTAACAACTTCTAATTTAGCCTGCCGTATAGTGAAATGTCATTCACTTAATTGACCAATCATGGTGCACATTCTAACTGAGAGAAATGATTTTGTCAGATATGAACCCTTAACATACACTAGTAACCTAATAACTTGTTCACCGTGGCTCAGGACGGAACAAATCCAAATGCAAGGTTTGAGGTACAAATCCTCTGGGGGAACTGAGATTTTTATTTCATATTTTTATTTTTTTATTTATTTTGGTCTTCATTCACTATAAAGCCACGGCCAAATGCATGCAACATGTAAAGGAACATCTTGCAACATAGTTGCTTGCATACCATGTAGCACCATGTTGCAAGATGTTGGATGGTGTTAGATCAAGTTTCAAATTGTTTTTTCTTGTTTTTTCCCATGGTTTAGGACGAAAAATCGTCGCGTTATATACGTTTCAAACAGAACACGTTGTTCAAATTATTTTCTCTTCCTCGTTTATATTTGATATTAGATATCAACCAATGATATTTCAAGTAACTTCCTGTTATCAAAACTTTGATGTTACATTCAAAGCAACATTACAAAAGAAACACCAGGTACAAGTTGTGTGTGTTTTGAAATAGACAAATTGATTGTGAAATAAATATGACGCGGAGGAGCTTCCATTCATGCAACATTTTGAACATTGCAAGATGTTGTGTGTGTTTGGCCAGCTCCTTCACAATGTTGCAAGATGTTGCATCGAAATGTTGCGTGCATTTGAACGGACCTTAAGATTCATTCATAATCTAGCCATCTAGCATGAGACTCAACTCTCAAATCATAGAACATTCTACCTGTAACCAGCTTTGAAAACCAACAGCTCTAGGCATGTCAGATGCCCTCCACAAGCAGCAAAATGCACTGGAGTCATGTAATTCCTTGACTTAACCCTGGGATTACCGTTCCCTTTCTCGATCAACCACTTGACAGTGTCAAACCTTCCAAATCTCGCTGATAAATGGAGTGCAGTATGCCCGGAGCCATCTCGAGTGTCTGCATCAACCTCGCCAGTCGCAAGGAAATATTTCACACACTCTAGCTCCCCCTGAGCCGCAGCGTCATGAAACGGAGTCGCCCCGCTTCTTCCGCGGACTTTGGGGGAAATTCCAGCTGTTTCTACCAGCCATTTTACGCAATCAATCCTTCCTGTTCTTGCTGCGTAATGGAGAGCAGTCGCTCCAAATCCATCTGCCGCGAAAGGCGCTGATCGACGGAGCGATCGTAAGGTTTGAAGATCTCCGTCTTTCGCTGCAATAAGAACTCGTTCAGCTTCAGCCATATGTGCGACCTAGGTTCATGTACACTTTCTCAGCTCAAAACACAGATCGAGTGCGAAACAGCCATAAGCTAAAATATAAAGATTTGCGCATAATTTTAAGGTTCATCCAAAAATATTTAATCTGACGAGTGCTCGTTGCCAACGTGATCTATTGAGAGAAAAAACATTGTAAATAATTAACGAGCTGTAACTTCTTTGCCGACTGTCGCGCACCTGCCTTGTAAGGCTGTGAAGAAATAAAGGTACCCGGAAAATATGGATGGATCGTCATGATCATTGAAAAAGCCTTCGAAATCACTTGAACAGCTGGGAATTCTCAATATTGCTCCTTCTCTTTTTCAAGTTCTTTTTGTTGTCCTCTCCTTGAGTGCAGGAAAACTCATTCCGTAGTTGCGTCATTCCGGAAACATTATGCATGAAGAATAATGAACAAATATTTCAGACTTATTTCAAACTTTAAAATCGCCGCCATTGTCAAGATAGATTCTGCGTGACTATTGAACAGCGTTGGCATGTAAGCACTTAAGCGCATGCTTATTGGGTGCACCAAAAATGGCGGACGGCTCGCAGAATTTAGTTCCTAACTCGGTTCAAAACAAACCAAATACAAGCGGAATTTCGGGAAGTCAGCCAGCGACAAGTCAACCCACAGCTTCTAATACAGCTGCGGCAACTGTGTCCCATGTGGATACTAAAGTCAGAAACGCTGGTGCTTCTTTGGCGGAGTTTTTAACCCAGTTGGATGACTACACACCGACGGTATTGAAGTTAAATAGTTATGCTGATTATTTTTCAGTTTTTGTTTATGTCTAATGTAATGACTGAATTTTTTTTCTTACTGAATCTTGGCCTCGTCTAAATACATAGAAATGCAAAAAGCGTAGCTGATAGCCAGCTGTTTCGTTGATAAGACGTGATTGTCCAAATTTACTTTTGAGCGAAACAAGGGCTTAGGTCAGGGGTAATCCGGGGCAAGATTTCCGCGCATAATTCATACAGGTCTTATACAGAGAGAATAAAAGGTAAACTACAGAATACAGGGCCACTTATGTATATTTCATTGAATCACTATACATCCTTTTATGTTCTGTCTTGTTCTTTAAAGCATGCCGACAAGGTGGACCTTGGTGGCCCCTGTTTCCACTCAACCAACTAAGCAGAACTGAGTGTTTGCTTCATATTTTTCCGTACAGATCTTTGCCTTTTACCCTCAGATTCCTTCCCCTCTCATCAAACGAAAGGGCTAAGTTGGCCTACAGGATAAAAAATTCCAAGCTTATGTTATAAAGCATTCTTTTTCAATGATTTCTTAGATACCAGATGCTGTAACAGCATTTTATTTGAATCGTGCAGGATTTGACTCCACAGACCCAAGAGTGTAAGTTGAATTGGAATCAGTTATCTTGGGGGTATCATGCTTTTTCGAAGTACAAGAATTGTGTTTGTGAATGGATAAGAAAGGTGATAAATTTCGAGTCTGAATGAACTGAGATGTTGTTAATTCATCACCAGCATGTAATGAGGTAAAACAAAGAGTTACTAAACAGGTTTTGAACCAAAGACCCAGAGACTTCACAATCTGATGCTCTACCAAAGTATAACTCGTGCTCAAAATTTACCAGTGGGAGAAGTGGTGATTGCACATAAGGGCACTTGTCTCTAGTCTTAAAATATTAGGGATGTGGTGAAGTTACCTTTTTTAGTTCTCAGGCAAAAATTTTGCTTTCTCTCTCTACTCAGGAGTATGAGCAGGTACTGGCAAACTGTTTAGAGAATCTGATGAAATGTTGATGGGGGGGGAGGGGTAACAAAAGATGAGGTAGCATTCCATCCAGAGGGGAGTAGATGATTGCTAATTTGTATCTTTGTGGGCGTTCTTTATTCTCTGTAATTCCTCTAACTGCTGGGTTATTGACTAGAGCAATTTTCCTTTCACTGCAGAGTGAGGATGATTTCTCTTGCTGCACAGAAGTTTATATCAGATATTGCTAATGATGCTCTGCAGCACTGTAAGATGAGGGGGTCAGGCCAGAGTTCAAGAAAATCTGGCAAAGTAAGTTCTGTAACAATTTTAATTCATGCACTTATTCTTAATTTATTCATACTAATTAAGTCAACATACAAAGTGTTACTCCTTTATCTGCTTGCAGAAGGCTTTTGTGAGGCAGTTGATGGATCACAACTTGCTTGATTTTGTGACTGACATTATCTGGTTGTGAATACATCTTTCTCATCAACAAGTAATTAATTGGACAACAGATGAATTCACAACAAACATAATTAACTTCTTGAGAAAATTGAGTAAAATTTGTTTGTATTTTGCAGGACAAGCGTTATACATTAACCATGGAAGACTTGACCCCAGCACTTAGTGAATATGGAATAACTGCCAGAAAACCTCCATACTTTATTTAATGTAACTTTATCATACCCATGTAAATATGGTAAATTGACTATTAATGAACTGTAGACTTCTCTTTGTTGAATGGAAAGAAATTTATAGGCAATAAAGTGCATTTTGTAATGTTAGTGATGTTGGGTACAGGGACATGGCATTACTTGACAATTAATTCCACACCCTTGGACAAAAATCTGTCTTGGAGTCAACCCTTTATGTTTTTCAAGAGGATTCAGGATTTGAACATTGAAATATTGTAAGAGGAAAGACTTGCTTTCTAGAATCAGTAAGGGAATAAGCCCCAAGCAGGGTGGAACAATGAGCAGACTTGAGCCAGAAATTTACAACCTTCAGCAAGAATGCTCTTCTAAATAATTAAAAACATTTAAAAATCAAATTTTACTTGCTAATTCCAGGAAGAGAGATATCTCTCAGGGGAAATAGGACTATCTTTTCCCTCTCTACACCCTGACAGTTTGGCAATCAACACCTTATATAGTTGGATATCATTTCCTTTATTCTCCTGACCTTGATGTATAATTTTGGAGTTGTTACCAGGATTTTTCAAAAAGGGGGGCTCACACTGTCAAATAGAGGGTGCCCACCAGATTGTCGTGCTGATCCCCATGCCATGTCTGACAAAAAGGCTTGCATACTAAGGGAGGTCATGGGTACCCCAGGACCCCCCTCCCAGCTACAGCCTTGGATTAAGGGGTGATATTGTAAGGAGAAAGTAGATGCTAGTCATTCTCACAGGTAGAAATAATTAATGGCAAGGATCAGATGTTTTCAATTCATTTGCCACAACTTGATACATGCATTGTACTTTTAATATGTCTTTGGCTGCATATTTCACCTTCTAGAAAAAAACATTCATATCAACTGAAAAGTTTATACCATGGTCAGTCCCTACTCACCCACCCACCCTTGTTCTTTTTTTTCTTCTTTCTCTGACTGGGCTGGAGGAAACTGGAACCGTTTGTTTTTATTCGCCCCAGTCCTCCTGCAGCAAATTTCGAAGGAGTAAGATGACAAAAATTTAATCGGTTGCTCGGCTCGAAGGGGGTTCCATCCGAATCTCTCGCATGGGAGAATCAAAGCCTGATACCGCTGAAAGCAACAAACAAAGCTGCAAAAATGGTCAAACATGGTCTTCGTTGTCATATCTCAAACGGCGCGAGTTATTCGGGATTGCTGAGCGAAGCGACATTGTTTCTTCAAAATATTACAAACATTTTGCCTTAAGGAAGATTTGGGATCCAGAAGATAGACCAAATGACGATGTACATGGAGCCATTTTCAATGTGGAATTTTCACCTAGTGGCGATCTTCTTGTCGCGGCGTGCGAAAAACACAGCTTGCTTTTCTTTGATCCTCTTAGCCAACGGTTAGTGAAGACTATACGGTCGGCTCATGGTGATTGCGTAAATTGTGTGCGTTTTCTGGACACCAGGATCTTTGTAACATGTTCTGATGATACCACTATAGCTCTTTGGGACTCTAGGAATCTAAAAAGTAAGGTTCTTAGCTTAGAAGGGCACTCGAATTGGGTCAAAAGTGTTGAATACCACCGACCATCCGGCCTTCTTGTGACGTCGGCATTCGATGATACCGTGAGGACATGGGACATAAACAGGTACTCCAGTGGAGATGGAGTGAGTAATCAAAACAACAAGATTGTTCTTCAGTTTTCCAATTTAATTCGAATGAAACTGTGCCCCGATGGATCCAAAATGATCATCTCGGCCATTCCTGGAAACTTACTGGTACTGCATAATTTAAACCTTGATAACTTACAGTATGACATCGAAGGAGAAGAGTATCCATTCTGGAGTGCCTCGGAATCTTCACTCGTTAGCTATGCTAGTCATCGATGGCCAAGTAAGGAGCGTAACGCCCTGGAGATGGTTCAAGATTTCCCAGATGAATGTTTGCCCTGGTGTATTTCATCTTTAGAAGTTCATCCTCATGGCTGGTGTACTCTTGCACGATACACATGCAAGAAATCAAGAAATGAGTGGACTGTTCTTCATGACATTCAGGATGTCGCTGATATGAGGGGTGGTTAGTATTGAAAACTTAACAATTTTGTATGTTATTCGTACCCTAAGAAAAATTTTTCCCTTTTTCAATCCCTCAGCCCTTGCCCTCCCTAGCTATGGAAATTATTTTATAGTATAAACATCGGTGTTTAACAGGGATTCCAGCCCTGAGAAAAGGGATTAACTGCACAAGTGTAAAATTGTGATCATAATTCTTTGATATTTCTAATCAGCTGCTGATACATCACTTACCTTTCAATTGCCATGTTATCAGGTTCATGAATGACAAGCATTTATGGTCAGTAAAGGCCTATGGAGTTTATAGCAGAGCTCGCAGAGCATAGCCCCATAATTATACAAAATAGTAGTGACCCATTAAGCCGAAAAAATTTGGATGTACGACCGTATGACCATACGACTGTACAAGGTGCTACTTTAACATGCAAGGTTAACTATACTGTGGGCACCCCAACACCACAGCTTTGTTCAATAGTCCAGTGGTCAGTGCAATGGGCTCTGAGTCGGACAACCGGGGTTCTAGTCCTTGCCGGGGCAGGGTGTTTTGCCCTTGAAACATGTGGGGAAAAAAAATGCAAGCTCCACTTTTAGGCTTGGCTTAATCTATATATTATGATAAACAAAATGATACATGGATGCTTTTAGATGTACGAATTTCTCTTCTCGTGTTCAACTTGAAAAGAAATTCCATAGCTATGCATGCCCATGTATTTTTCTCTTTGTATCACTCATACAAGATATCCTACATGTTTATTTATTTAACATATTAATATTATTATTAACTTCTATTGTAGGTGAAGACAATGCAACTCCTTCACGTCGCCTTACCTACAGTATTAAGGAACCCAATGTAGCCAGGGGTTACATAAAAGAACATTGTTTTAGCAGTGATGGAAGAATCATTTGTTCACCATTTGGCAATTCTGCCAGAATCCTTGGTTTTAGTAAACATTGTGAAGAACTGGCAACTTGTGTTCAGGAGACACCTTCAGAGCTGTGCGATTTAAAAACACTTATCAGTCATAAACATGCTGTTGTGACTTGTAGGTTTTCACCAACTCACTCTCTTCTCTCTTTGGGTTGTTTAGGTGGCAAAGTAAGCTTTTACCAACCTAAACTTTGAAGCTACTGAGCTTGAAGATATTCCTCTTGTTATTTGTGTGTTGGAAAATATGTAAGAACATTGCTTTCAATAAAAATCTTCCATTGAGCTACCTAAAAATGATTGTGTACTGTTAAGTTTCTGAATCAATGTATAAACCTAACAGTCAAGAATAATAAAAGGAAAAGGCATTTCTAACCCTTTCTGATATCTCATTAGAGATTCTCCTTACTGTCAGCTATATAATTATTATTATTATTGTTATTATTATTATTATTCCCATCACATATCTGCTTGATATTGTATTGATATTGTAAAGAGAAATTCTATCTTGGCTACTCATTGGTTAAATTTATTGCAATAACCTTTAAATTCCATTTTCTTGAGGACTTCAGACCAGGATCATTTGGAGCTGAATTTATCAGACATTTTTTCGTGTTTCTAAAGTTTGTCCTACATGTCATGACACAATCTGCCTATGGTGACAGAAGTGAAAAGGCTCCAAAATAGGCTTCTTTATCCAAATCCTGAAAGGCAAAAGGCGCCGGATGAAAGGCAAACAAAATCGTGAGAACTTTTTTACTCTTTACATGCAATATCTTTAAGTGAGCGCTTACGTACTACGGGCCTATCTTTTTTCTCCCGGCTCCAGGGCTCCTCATTGCACAGCTGATTTAATTATAATCAGCCAATCAGCGTCAAACAAAGGAATACCCCTTTGGGATCCGCTGACCTGACCGCCCACTTACAAATCAAGAAATCTTTTAACTCACGCCGCAAGTAAACACAACTTACTAATCCCTGCGCCCCTTCAGACGAGGTTAGTTTGATTATTCACAACTCTGAGAAATGACCACTATCAAAGCCATTTGCTGTATAGGTGCTGGATATGTTGGCGGCCCGACTTGCAGTGTCATCGCGTTAAAATGCCCGGAGATCAAAGTAACTGTAGTCGATTTAAGTAAGCCGCGAATTGACTCATGGAATTCGGAGAAGTTACCGATCTTCGAGGTAAGTGAGCGAACCATATTTAATTTTGGATGCTGTGGGTGAATTTTTACGTCTTATGAATAATTTTTTTTTTCCTGTTCTGATTCGTTTTCACAGCCCGGTCTTGATGATATTGTAAAGAAGTGTCGTGGCAAAAACCTGTTCTTTTCAACAGATATCGACAGCGCCATTCGTGAAGCTGATTTAATATTCATCTGTGTGAGTATTGATCGATAAAAATCGCTTATATGCGAGTATCCATTCATTCATTTGAAACACTAATTGTCATTTCGGCAAGATATGAGCCTGGCTTCTTTGGCCGAACAAATTAATTAATCGAACTCCGTTCTTCCTAGTAATATAATGTCTCCATTCATTTGATACGTTTTAGGTTAATACTCCAACGAAAACCTTCGGATTGGGAAAGGTAAGCTTTTCAAAGATATGAACTTCTTTCATTCAAAAATTAAGTTGTTACAGATTAAAATAATAGCTTCGTATAGACAAAATGTTTTGTTTCAACACTAATTTTTTGATGTGAATTAAATATTGATGTAATTTTATTACGTGGTCAAGTATTAAGAGAGTTTCCTTGTGCCGTGTATTTCTTCAAGTACTAGAGATTGCTCTATTCTCTGAATTTTTTCGCCACAAATTCTGTCGCCATAGAAATAAAGACTGGTTTCGTGGAAACGATATCTTTCAATGAATAAAAACATTGCATGATTAGCGGTGGCCTGCAAAGTAATTGTAGTCGACTGACAAAAAAAACATCAATTGGTCGACAACTGATAAAGTTGGTTTATATTGTTATGTAAAGTTTCCAATGAGGGTATTGTACTTTATGTAGATTGGAGTCAAATGTTTGAACTTTCAAGAATGCTGTGCTATTGTTGTCACTTCTCTGAACAGCTAAATAAATACAAAACATTCTCAGTTGCTGGCGCCATGGTTGAGTGGCTTCCGGAATTATATTAATTTAAAATAAAAGCCGTTTGGTTGATGCTAAGATGTTTGTCACTGGGCATACATTACATTGTGTCTTTTTGTAGATACTGAAAAGAAAAAAGATAGATGCATCTTTACTTTTGTGACCCTTAAGAAAATTTTGATTATAGCCTCGAGCGATCTAATTCAAAACTAAAAACTAAAGAGTATTCAATTCAGAGTTCCTGTCGAAGATACTAAGAGCCCTGTCGTGATTTTGAGAATTTGCATACTAATTTGTTGTTTTGTTCAATTTATTTCCAAAACAATTCTTCATAATTGTTTTTCTTTCTTTTTTTTTTTTTTTTCGGAAGAAGGAAAATTTGCTAGACTGTCAATAAATTGCATTTGCATATGTACTTGTAATACTTGGTTATGGCAAGATTTTCCCATCCATTTATAGTTGCACTCTTTGGATAAGATATTTTTGTTTTTCATGATACTGACTTGTTCATTTTCTTGATGATGTAATATTACCGGAAGCAATGATCTATTCATGACAGTTCAAGAGAACTGATTCACTTTGTATTAATATAACCCTTTAACCCATTTATATATTTTCCTCCTTACAATATCACCCCTTAATCAAATATTAAGGTCATGAGAACAAATGAAATGATTACAAACTGAAGAAGCTCTTGATTGTTGTACAAATTCTGCTTGTTAGCTCCTTAGAAAATGAATGGAAAATATGTAAACTGATGTTAGGGTGCTAAGGAGTACCTATTAATAGCAAATTCAAGAAAGTTCTGAACACTATTTGATCAGTAAAAGGAATTTGAAAAATTACCTTCTTAATAAACACTTTTTCTAACAAAAAGCAATATTCACTTCTCACTTATCCATGAATTGTGCATAAGGGCCGTGCTCCAGATTTGAAGTACATAGAATCTGCGGCAAGACACATTGCAGAGATTGCTGATGGAGAGAAGATTGTTGTGGAAAAGAGCACAGTACCTGTTAGGGCTGCTGAGAGGTAATAAGAACTACTACTATATTCATACTTGTTACTAAAGGTCAGCACACACAAGGGGACTAATCTCTAGTTGTATTTACATGCAGGAACCAATTGCATAGGGAAATAGCAAAAGCTGGGGGGCAAACAGTATCGTTCTTTCACTCTGCGGCTTTCTTAAGAAACCAAAATGAAAATAGCAATCAGCTTAGTACAAACCACAGATTTTTCAGCAAAATTATTCAGTGCTTGAATTGTTTCTGATTCAGTGCAGATGTAAGCGGAAAATAACACTTTGTTACCGATCAGATGTGGCCAATACAGAAACAAAAGCACTTTATTTCTCAAACTTTGGAATTGGGGAGGTAGTACTTTGTTGGTTTTGCTTTTATTGCTATTATCTTCATGATTTTTGTCCCAGAGTTCTCGACTTTTTTTGTAAAAGTCGATCAGCATTCTGGTGGAAGTGACACTTCAATCATCATCATCCTTGTGATCCGCCATCTTGAAACAGAGTTTGTAAGGAGTTGTGAGAGCTAGTGATACCAATCTGTGATTGGTATATTTTAAGTTGGTTGCTGGGACTTGTCCCACAAACAGTTCACACAAAGCATTTCAAGGAACAAGTTGCAAGGACTTGTCCTAAAAATTCAAACTAGTTTGAATTTGTGAGACTGGTGACAGGGACCAAATTTTAGTCCCTGCGACTAGATTTTGTGGCAAAAATGGGTAGTGTACACAATGAGACTTGTCCCTGTGACTTGTTGTTATCTCTGGGTTCAATTAGAGGAGGAACATTTCAATTCCAACAAACTTTTTAATTTAGCAAGCCATATGGTGAAATACAGTCTGTTAAACTTACCAATCGTAGTGCATGGACAAACTGAGAGATATAATTAAAGGAATTCTTTGGTGGGTGTTTTATAAATATGTATGTATTCAGACCAAGGTACCTGATTGTTGAGTACTATGGTGGGAATGGAGAAAAAGACACAGTTATCAGATAATTAAACTTTTTTTCCTTAGTATTACAAGAATTTTTGACGCAAATGGAAGCAGAGGAAAATTCCAGGTTTGATTTGAACTTCTTAGCTTGTCATCAAATTGTTTTCATAGATAATAATACTAACAATAACAATGGTTGATAATGATGATGATTATGGTGATAATGATGATGATGATAAAGATGAAGCTGTTCATTATTTTCTGATAATAGTTATAGTAATGACAATGAAGATAATGAAAGTGAGAGTGAGAGTCGAAGGATGGTGAGAATTAATATGACAGTGATGATAATACTGAGATGAATTTGAACAAAAACTGTTAAGAAGAAAATACCTTCTCTTCCTTGTAGGTTTTATCCAATCCAGAGTTTTTGGCTGAGGGTACAGCTATCAAAGACTTGATGGAACCTGATAGAGTTCTGATTGGTTAGTATAATTACACTTCCATTACTATTTTGATTGATTTACCTTGTACATAGTTCAACTCCTGTTTATTTGACCTTTGATAATCAGCATCATGATGATTGAGGTTTTTTTTAATACATGACTTCCTCACTCTGTTTTCTAGGAGGTGAACAAACTAGGGAAGGATACAAAGCAATCGAAGCCTTGTCATCAGTTTATGAACACTGGATTCCCAAAGAAAATGTTATCAAGACCAACACATGGTCATCTGAGCTTTCAAAGCTGGTGGGTAATTTTGTGTCCTGATTGCACTACATGTATGAGTGTTAATGGGCAAAATGTTTCGTTGAAATGAAAAAACAAGTGGACATTGTTCCTTGCAGGCAGCCAACGCTTTTCTAGCCCAGCGAATCTCCAGTATCAATGCCATGAGTGCCATTTGTGAAGCAACTGGTGCAAATGTGTCTGAAGTGGCAAGTGCAATTGGCCGAGACACAAGGATAGGAAGACACTTTTTGCAAGCCTCTGTTGGTAAGATATAATGAACAACTACATTTTTCAACTTGGGATATTATGTCTCTAGTGTTCTGATTGGTTCTCTCAGCTTGGGTTATCAGCTCATATTCCAAGTCACCTTGTATGCAACATTTTGGAAGCTTTCAATTTTTTGCTGAAATATTCAAAAGTTCAGGAATGAATGAAATTTAATAAAACAATTATGCCATTCGCACTTGTTGGATAGGAGATTGGTTATTGCCAACTTGCCACTATGCACTTCATCACCTAGTTACCATCTCATATCCAGTGCATG